AGCTCAGTGGGACAGCGGAGGAGTCAGTGGGACAGTGGGGACAGTGGGGATAGGCAGTGGTTGGGTCCGTGGAGACAGTGGGGAGAGTGGAACCGTGGTGGGAACAGTTGTGGGAACAGTGGGGACAGTGCGACAGTGGTGGGGGCACTGGTGGGGACAATAGGGACGGTGGTGGAACCAGTGGGGACAGTGGTGGTGAGGACAGTGGTGCTGGGAACACCAGTGGGGGATGTGATGCGGACGGTGGTGGGGACCGGGAGTCGTTTGCTGGCGGTGAGTAGGGGGGGGGGGGGGGGGGGGGGGGTTCGAACGGTAGTGACCCCCCCGTTTTCCGGATCCGGAGGGGGGGGGGGGGGGGGGAGGGGTTCGAACCGGGTAGTGACCCCCCCCGGTTTTCGAGGGGGGGGGGGGGGGGGGGGGGTTAGGGGAGGGGGGGTTTTGGGGGGGAGAGGGGGGGGGGGGAGGGGTTCCAGCAGGGGGGGGGGGATTTTCGGAGGGGGGGGGGGGGGAGACCCCCGGGTTCCGGAGGAAAAGGTTGGCAATTTTCCACAGTAAAGCGGCGGTGGATCACGCTCTCTCTTATCATCATCATGGTCAGCATCCTCAGCAGCAAAGTTACAAGTGTAGACATCAGCATCATCAGCCCCCAGCAGCCTCGTTGTCGTCACCATCGTGTCATGAACGCCATCCGCGAAAACAATCAGTATTCTCATCATGTTCTTCAGCACCATAGTGGTGTCTCCGTCTTCATCCTCATCACGCTCAACATCATCGTGATCCTCGTCATCAGAATCATTATCGTCATCAGCATCATCATCGGCAGTTACAACAACAACTACAACACCAGCACTGCCATCATCATCATAAGTACCATCATCATCGGCATGTCCACCGTACCAGCATGCCATCATCCATCATATTCGCTAGCTCATGATCCTCCTCACCAGCATCGTCGACCGAATCGTAAACCGTAACATCAGCATAATGATTCCCATGATCGTCATCATCATTGTCATCATTAATGTGGTTATCCTCCTCCTCCTGGCCCTGCTCCTTATCATCCTCCTTGTTATCCCCATCAGCAGCATTAGCATCGTCATCATCAGCAGCAGCAGCCACAGCAGCCTCAGCATCAGCATCATCACCATCATCACCATCATTATCATTAGTAGCATCATCAAAATCATCATTATCACCATCACCATCACCATCATCATCAGCATTATCATCGTCATCGTCATCTTCATCGCCATCGTCATCGGCATCGTCATCGTCATCGTCGTCGTCGTCATCAAAAATCAGCAAGTCCAGTCGGCGTGTGCGAGAGGCCCTTCGACGCGGGGCCAGCCCAACCCAACCTGAAGTACGCCAGCCTCCTTTGAATCGTCGTCGTCGTAGGGGAGATCGAGCAAACCAGGTAGGTCGAACAATGCCGTAATTACGTCGACGGGTTCCTTCCCTTTGTCCTCTCCTCGCTATGGGGGAGGTCGGAGGGTTCCAGGGGGATAGTCGGGCTGTCCCAGGGGGGGTCCCGGGGGTTGTGACCCCTCCCACGCTGGGAGCTGTCCCACTCGATTCTCACCTCAAGTACGCCGGCCTCCTTTGAATCGACGTCGTCGTAAGGGGGATCGAACAAACAGGGGAGATCGAACCATGTCGCAATTACGTGGAAAGGAGGCCCCTTCCCTCCCGGGGGGAGGTCCCAGCTTCTTAGGGGGGGTCCTGGGGAAGGCCCCAGGGGTTGTGACCCCTCCCCTGGTTGGGGTTTTCCCACTCGATTTTCGCCTCCCAGACGCCCGACCCCGAGGAAACAGACGGCTCTCCATTCCTTTTCCTTATAAATAACTTCTCCCTGTCGCACCCCGAGGCCAGTCGAAAGGGCGGGCCGGGCGTTTCGACTGAGACTTCCCAACCACCTATGACCCTGAAGCTGGGGGGCGGGCCGTCTTCAAAATGTGGTTCTCGCCGTGGCGCCGCGCACAGTCGTTTTCAAAAATTGCAAGGGTTTCACGGGTTGAGGGCGGGTCCTTTTCAAAATGGGTCTCTCGCCTCAGCGCCGCGCACACTCCTTTTTGAAAAAATTGCAGGTGCTTTACGGATTCCCATGGTCAACGTACCAGAAATGGCGTTCTGGAAAGATCCTGGATTAGGAGGGCGCAGCAGGTGCCCATCGGTAAGGGTCGGAAGAAGTAGGTAGAAACGCGAAGTAGGAAGGCGTTGAAAGCAAATTGGGTGCCCGCCCGCCCCCTGAAGAGGAGGGAAGAGGGGACGCCACTCGATCATTGAAGCAGGACGGCGCTTAAAGTAGATTGGACTGTGGGAATCAAAACATAGATCAGCCAGAGTTGACTCCAAATAGATAGGAGGACAGGAGAAGGACGAGAGAAGGATGGGAGGAGGGAGAAAGGAGGACGGGAGCAGGACGGGAGGAGAACGGGAGGAGCAAAATCAAGCAAGCGCAAGCAAGCAAGCGGAAGCAAGCAAGCGCAAGCGAGCAATAACAAGCAAGCAAGGGCCAGCGACCAAGTGCAAGCAAGCAGGGCAAGCAAGAGCAAGCAAGCGAGAGCAAGCACGCAAGAGCAAGCAAGCAAGTGCCATTGGAAAAAGGGGGGGGCATTTGAAAAATGGGGGGAGGTCATTGGAAAAAGGGGGGCATCCTAAAGACCAATTCCTTATGATGAGCTAGGCCACCTATAGGGCAAGCCGATTTTGAGAAAATACCCTCTTTCAGCGACCGATGGGTAGGTTGATTCGCGGTGTTGAAGCCCCAGGAACGGCGTTCTTGCACGATGCAGGGTCGTCAAGGCGCGGCATTCAGGCGGATCCTGGCACGCTTGCGGCTCTCCGGACGGTTGTCTTCCAACGAGGCAGCTCCCGCAGTGGGAGTGAACCGTTGTATGAGGCCTGTGAAGAGGGAGCTTGGAGGGAGGGTTTATTCCGACATCGTTGATGATTCTTGGGTTTACACTGGTCCTCCTCCTCCTCTTCCTCCTCCTCCTCATTGTCCTCTTTCTCCTTCTCCTTCTCATCCATTCCTTTTCCTTATAAATCGCTCCTCCCTGTCGCACCCCGAGGCTGGTCGGAAGGGCGGGCCAGGCGTTTCGCCTGAGACTTACTTCCCATGTATGATCCTCAGGCTTGGAAAATTCGCAAGAGCTTCACAAACGGACGGCGAGCCGCTTTCAAAATGTGGTTCCCGCCTTCGCGCCGCGCATTCGTTCAAAAAATTGCCAGAGCTTCGCGGATTGACGGCGGGCCGTTTTCAAAATGTGGCTCTCGCATTTGCGCCGCGCATATTCGCTTTAAAACTTGACATGAATTCACGGATTGAGGGCGATTCCTTTTCAAGATGTGGCTCTGGCCATAGCGCCGCGTCAATTCGTTATACAAATTTGAAAGAGTCTGACGGATTCCCATGGCTAGCGCACCATGCATTGCATTCCGGAGCGATGCAGGATTTGTCAGGGCGCAACAGTTACGTTGCGTCGCGGTGTAGAAGTCCCAGGAATGGCGTTCTGGCACGATTCAGGCTCGTCAAGACGCGGCAGTCAGGCTGATCCGTGGCGATGACATCCCGAGAATGTGCCTCGGCACGCTTCAAGGTCTTCCAACAACTGTTTCCAAACAGGGCACTTCCCCGACTGGAAGTGAACCCGTGTAGGGGCCTATGAGAAGGGAGCTTGGAGTGAGGGTCTTCTCCAACACCCCTGATTAGTTGTAAGCTTGCACTGGTCCTCCTCCTCCTCCTCTTCCTCCTCCTCCTCCTTCCTCTTCCTCCTCCTTCTTGTCCTCCTCGTCCTTCTCCTCCGCCTCCTCCTCCTCCTCCTCCTCCACCTCCACCTCCTCTTTTTCCTCCTCCTCCTCCTCCTTGTCCTCCTCCCTCCACCGCCCGCCCCATGTCCCGAACCTGTGACAGAGTCATCAGCTCGTCGTTGTCGTTGTCGTCGTCGTGGTCGTCGTCGTGGTCGTCGTCATCGTCGTCCATCTGGGTCGGCGGTACTGGCCGTCAGGCATGGCCTTCTTCTTCATCAGCAGCAGCATCATCAGCATCGACATCAGCATCGTCATCATCATCATCATCATCATCATCATCATCATCATCATCATCATCATCATCATCATCATCATCATCATCATCTTCATCAATCATCATCATCATCATCATCATCATCATCATCATCATCATCATCATCATCATCATCATCATCATCATCATCATCATCATCATCATCATCATCATCATCATCATCATCATCATCATCATCATCATCATCATCATCATCATCATCATCATCATAATCAGCATCATCATCATCGTCATAATCATCATCATCAGCGTCATCATCATCATCACCATCACCAGCAACAGCATCAGCATCAGCATTATCATCAGCAGCAGCCGAATAATCATCATGGTCATTATCATTACAATCATCATCATCATCATCATCATCATCATCATCATCATCATCATCATCATTATCATCAGCATTATCACGATCGCCATCACCATCACCATCATCCTCATCGTCAGCAGCAGCATCATCACGATCACCATCACCCTCGTCATCATCGCCACCACAATCATCAGCAGCAACATCATCAGCATCAGCAGCAGCATCATCAGCATTAGCATCATGACCATCACCATCATCACCGTCCTCATCATCACCATCATCAACATCATCATCATGACCATCACCATCGCCATCACTATCATCATCATCAACATCATCATCAACATCATCATCATCAGCATCATCATCATCAGCAGCAGCATCACCATAATCATCATCATCACCATGATCATCATCATCATCAGCAGCAGCATCATCATCATCATCATCATCATCATCATCAGCACCATCATCATGTTCATCATCATCAACTCTCTTCTCCTACTCCTCCCCCCTCCTCCTCCCCACCTCCCCCCCTCTCCTCCCCCCTCCTCCGCTCCATCCCCCTCGACCTCCCGCCCTCCCCGCTCCCCCGTGCGTGGCCTGACCGGGAGCCTCCAGACTCCGCACGTCGCTCACGTCGAGGGCGGCCCAGGCCTCGCGGGCGAGCGCCGAGCCGGCCGCCGCCGCGTACGCGTAGCCGCCGTGCCCGCGGATCGCCGGGAGGGCACCTCGTTGGCAAACCCCTACTCCTCCTCCTCCTCCTCCTCGTCCTCCTCCTCCTCGTCGTCCTCCTCCTCCTCCTCCTCGTCCTCCTCCTCCTCCTCCTCCTCCTCCTCCTCCTCCTCGTCCTCCTCCTCCTCCTCCTCCTCCTCCTCCAGATCGCGCGCCGCCAGCTGCTCCGCGAGCCGCTCGGGGCGAGCCCTACCCCTACCACCTACGACTTCTGAGGGGGGGGGGGGGGGTCACTTCGCTCGGGAGCCCCCGAGCGAAGTGGACCCCCCCCCCCCTCAGAAGTCGTGGGGGGCGGGGGCAGGGTTCGCATCTGGCCCCCTAGACGCAAGAGATGACAGAGGTCGAGGGAGGGCTTCTTGCTGCAGTTCCAGGACGGTTTTGCGGGTCGGGCGAAGGAGGGGACGGTGACTCGACGCGGAGGTCCCCACATGTGCATCTCGTTCCCTGACACTGTCCGCAGTGAGTGTCCTGCTGTGAGTGTATGGGTGTGAAGTGTGAGTCCGAGTGGACGGCGGGCACCACCACGACGACGACGACCACCACCACCGCCACCACCACCAGGACTCACAGACAGACAGGAGATGTGCAGGCCCCCTGCCCTCTGCCTCCTCGTCGTAGCGCCTCCCTTTCCTCCCCCCTCCTCCATCATCCTCCTCGGCTGACATCATTATCCCTCCTCCTGCGTCCGACTCCCCCCGTCCTCGTCCTCGCTCCTCATCCGTCCTCCTCCCTACTGTTCCCTGGCAAGTGCCCCCCTCCTTGGCGGCCTCCTCCCCTGTCGTTCCTGTTCCTCCTCGACAATTACACAATATGAATACCTCGACAATTACACAATATGAATACTACTGTCCTGTCCCCTGACGAAGTCCGGAAGATATCCGGCCCCCTCCGCGCACTGTTTTTTACACACAGGATTCCCAGAAAATGGATTTTCGCTTGGTTTGTTTCAACATGTTGTTCCCGCTGAAACGTTGGCCCCACGTTTGCGCCTCCGGTTGTTCCAAATCGCATTCCCGCTGCAGCGCGGGCCTTGTCTGTCCTTCCAGATGGGCCCCAGAATCTAGACAATGCCCACCCGAAAAAAACTCGGAAGTGATTACGCATTCGGTATCGATTCGTTGATGTTTTGGGCCGCAGAAGCCCACCCCCACTGTGGGGCGTCGTATCAAGCGGGAGCTCCGTTTCTGCTTTGAGAAGGCGATGTTGGAAGTAAAGCCAGCGGGTGTTCTCCATCAGTCCCGCCTTATGTGGAGCTTCGGGGGGCCCAAGGAGCTAGACATAGCGCCACGACTCCAAACCGGCCCAGACCTCTCGAAGACGATCCACGTACCCTCCAAGGAACCCGGCAACATGCCATGCATGCTGTGCGATGTTGATTTTCTGCACCGCTGTGCGATGCCATGCTTTGCGTTGCAACGCTTTGTGATGCAATGCTTCACTGCGCAAGGCCACGCCATGCTATGCCATTCTACGCTCTGCCGTGCCCTTCTACGCCATGACACGCCGTGCTTTACCATGCATCGCGTACCCTCTCGCTCACGTCGTCGCTCTCTGGAGCGATCACCACTTTTGACCCCCATGCACATGGGCGTGTAGCCCGTGCGGTCGGCCGATGTATGCTCACCCACGGTTTTGGCCGCTTCGCCGGCCCGCGACGGACGGGGTCGACGGGCTGAAGGCACCGCCTGGCCGTCTCGGCTAGCTGGTGGCTCTGGCCACAGTTTGTGCCTCCTGGGAGCAAGAGGCACCACACCGCCTTGGCTCCCGCGGCCCCCGTGGGCGCTCTCGCCTGCGGCCGGCTGAGATAACCCCACCCGGGCTCTGCTCGGGGGTGCGGGCCGTGATGCAGAGGCACTGGCCGTGGGCCACTCCTCCTGCGTCACCTGCCAGCTCGTGAAGTGTGCTCACGGGGCTGACCCCCATCGGAGGCCCAAACCTGGCGGGCGCGAGCCTGGAAAATAACGGCCACGGCGCCCTCTCGAGAACCGAAAACGGACAATTCACTAATCGACGTGTCACTGTTGGGGGTTCTGTCCATCCCCGAAGTTTGTGCCTCCTGGGAGCAGAGGCACCACACCGCTTTGGCTCCCGCGGCCCCCGTGGGCGCTCTCGCCGGCGGTCGGCTGAAATATAACCCCACCCGGGCTCTGCTCGGGGGTGCGGGCCGTGGTGCAGAGGCACTGGCCGTAGGCCACTCCTCCTGCGTCGCCTGCCAGTTCGTGAAGTATGCTCACTGGGCTCCTACCCCCCTCGGTGGCTTGTGCGTGGCCGGCCTTTACGCTGACGCTCACGCAACTGGGTGTCAAGCGAGTGGATACCGCCACGCTTCCCCTGAGGCTGTGCTCTCTTTCTCCTCTCGCGCCTCCCTGCCTCCCCCCCCCCTTCAGGCTGCCGGTCGGTACTCCACCTGCGGGTCCGGCCTGGTTCCACCTGCTCAGCCGCGGTTGCCCTCTTCTGCTGGCACACGCTCAGCGACTTTTGGGTCCGCGTGCTTTCGGCAGGGCTTCGGTTCGCCCCCACCTGCGGGTTGACCCGTGGCCGCCTCTTTCTAATTATCTGCAGGTGCACTCTGCGCGGTGTCGCGCAAATCATCTGTCGCTGTGCCCCAGCCCCGGTCATACCGCCCTCTGGACTTCTCCTTGCGGGCCGCGAATCAAAAAAAGTACCCTCTCGCTATCATTGCCCTGCTCGACATCCGACTGTGCGAATAGAGAGGGTATCTGCGCCACGGTAAGGGATGGGAGGGAGGGGCAGGATGTCAGGCATGACGCGAGCGCACCTAGCTTGTCGTGGCCCCTCCCTTCTCTTCCTGTGTCCTTCCTTTTCCTTCCTCTTGCGCCCTCCCTCCTTGTCCTTGGCGGCCGGCGCTGTCCCAACAGCGAGGTCATCATGGGTCTCTCCTTGGACAGAGATGGAGGGTGCAGAGCGAGAGCCTCGCTCGAGACATCCCCACAACCTGGCCGCGAACGGGCGAGTGGCCTACCCCGTGGCGGCTCTCCCATTGGAGTGCTGAAACCCACGATTCGCCCCTGGCATGAGGAGGAGGAGGAGGAGAAGGAGGAGGAGGAGGAGGAGGGGGAGGAGGAGGAGGAGGAGGAGGAGGAGGACAATCTGCCCTGAAAGAACAGAGCTCTGAACCACCAAGCGAACGGACCCGCTCGAGGCAGGCCCCGCGATGCTGCTGGCGGCTCCACCTTGGGGCGCTCATGTATGAAGGGGCCCAGGGACACACAAATAAATACACACAAATAAAAAGATTCCCCATATTTTCCCATAGTTCCTGGGTTTCTGTCTCCCCCCCCACTTCCCATATTTTCCCATATTTTCCGCGGAATCGAGGATTAATTGTGTCTGTGTGTTTTTTCCTCTCCTGAATGTAGTGGAACCCAAGCAACCGAACAGGCGAACCACCTGAGAAATCCACACGATCTGGGCCTGGGAGTGCTGAAACCAGCGCCTCGCTCGAGGCGCCCTCACAGTCTGCTCTGAGAGCAAAAAAGCCCACGCAAACAAACAGACAAACCGCCTGAGACCTTCCCACGACTTGGACGCGAACGGGCCCGTGCAACCACCCTGGCGGCTCCCCCATTGGGAGTGCTGAAACCAACGCCTGGCCCGGGACATATGCTACGAAAGCAGAGGCTCTGAAACTGCCAATTGAATCGGAGCGCTAGTGAGTCTGAAGCGATCGGGCCTCAGCGCGCATGAGAATGGACATGAGAAGTCCGAGCATGACTGATCCCGAATGCTGACGAGAGTAAGTCGGAGTGCACGAGGAAAACGGGGGAACCGGGAGGGAGGAGCGAGAAGAAGTGAGCCGTCGGAGACGTCCGAGGCACAACAAGAATCCCACCTTGGGACATGGAGACTAACGCAGGAGGGACGGCGAATCCACCGACCCCTTCTGGGCCCCCAGGCGCGCAAAATTTTGGGGGGCACCAAAAGGCACCAATACCGCCTCCTCCTCCTCCTCCTCCTCCTCCTCCTCCTCCTCCTCCTCCTCCTCCTCCTCCTCCTCCTCCTCCTCCTCCTCCTCCTCCTCCTCCTCCTCCGCTACTCCCCGGACTTCTTCCGTGGCGCGTTCTGCCCAGGACTTCGAAGCGAATCCGGCGGCGGCGGCGAGGGTCGCTCCGTGAAGCCCAAGAAGGGGACAACGGCCGAAGGGTAGCGGCATGGGTACCCTTTCCTCTGCTGAATTCCCCTTTCTAAAACCAAGTTGCGGGTAGGTGGGTGGGATGTTTGCGCGAGCAGTGGAGTGGACAACTCACTGCGAACAGAAATTATAATCTCCCCCCCATGATCCCCCCCAGGCAGGGGCCCCAAACTGCGCGTTGGACCCCCCCACCCCCTGGCCCACGCTGACCCCTGGCCGCGCTCATCAGGGAGTCAGCTTCAAGTCGGGCGCGTCCTCCCACGGGCGGATATTGGACGAAAAATTAAAAAGAACCAAAACATGCGGCGCGGCCCTCTGACATACGATCTGCTCCGACCTCGTCTGCGAGGACTAGATATAAATCAGAATCTTGCGCACGTGTCTTCTGGACACACGGCGTCTTCGTCCTCCTTCGACTACACGTAGGAGTGGCCCTGGGTAAGAGTGACCTCTGGTGCGCGGCGTTTGAGGGGCGCGAAGGGGCCAAACAAGAGCGCGCGAGGCGCTGCCATCGCGTCGCGTTCGGCGATCGGGGGACCCTGGTGGGCCCAGGTCACCCTGGCGAACAATCACTCTTGCGCGTAGTCGACTGCTCTGACCGGCTTTTCATCCTGAGCGGTTTTTTGACGGCCCCGAGGCCCGGCAAGGGCCCCGGGAGGCCGAGAGTACAGAAAAACCTCCCGTCTCGAGTCTTCCACGTCCCGAGGCGTCTGGGTTCGTCCTCCTCTCCCTGTCGCCCTCCTCTCGCCCGAGGCCTCCGGCCCGACGTGAAGTCGACCCCCCCCCGGGGGGGGGGGCGCCCTGGCGGCCGCGGCGGCGGAACGCGGCCCGAAGGGCGGCCCA